AGAGACCCAAATATGATCTATATCCTGTTGAGATATTATACTAATATCTTTGTTTAATGCAATTAATGAGGATGCATATTTGTCGAAAAAGTGCTGCAATGAATATTTGTAGTCTTTCCAGTCTTCAGTTGTCTATATAGGGTGTTGCATATTAAAAGAACCATTTAATATATAGTAATTTTGTATAAGTGCCGATTTACGAATAAAACTATAAATTTTCAACTTAAAGTTTATTTTGTAAATCTTTTTATTATAATAATTTATAGCAAATTTTTTTTATTTAATAGATATTTATTTAAGAATTAAATAAAAAATTTTTTTGAAAATTGTTAAAATGGGCCTTTTTAACTCAAAGTATCTAGATATAATATATAAAGAGTTGTTAATTAGTATTTTTCTAATTCATACGATCTTAAATATATAATTATAGAGGATAACTATATAGTAAAACCTTTATAAGTGCACATCTTCTCTAAATGCATACTCAAGTTCTGGCCCAAACATATATATGCCTTCTATAAATATATTTTCTCTAAGTTTGGTCCCAAGGGCGTGCACTTATAGAGGTTTTACTGTACTTGGAATTTTTTAAATTTAGTCAAACAAATGTACCAAAATATCCAATTCTAATGAAGAGCAAATGTAGCCAACTGCATCCGATATCTAAAAATAAGAATAAATTAATAGATATATGCTAATTATATAGTAGTAAATATATATACATGCGATCAAATTGGTTTTCATTTTTCATATTAATTTCAATATAGGCCAGCCAGTAAGAAAGATATATCTCAGAAAGAATTTTGCATATAGCGTTTAATGCATATAAATAGCTACTCCCGACGTCCCTATGTTATTACTTGAAAAGACAAAGTACATTTACTATATATATACTACCTTATACATCATCTACTTTAGTAATGAGGAAAGATAGAAAATTTAAACTGTATTCCTTTTTAATATCCCTTAATTTTTTTCCAAACCTTCTTATAAAAAAACTAACATTTTATCATATCTAATTAATTCTAAACTAATAATAAAGACAATAACTTACATGTTGTTTTAAAAGATTATCATCTCTAAAACCAAAAAGCTTATTTAATCTCTCAGTATTTTTTACATGTACTAATGATCTGTCGAGAGTTTCTATAAAATTTTGTACTTCAAGGTCTTCATTATCTGTCTATTCATCTGTCTTAACATGCTTGCATAAAGTAGTAAAGATAGTAATAGCAAAAATAGATTCGAATTCAACAAAGGAAGATTCCATTTTTAATTTAAGAAATAGAAAATGTGGTATAAAAAAAGTTATCAAAATATGTAAAATTTGTTAATGAATGAGAAAAAACACTAAGAAATTTTTACATCAGAATACTGCCCTTTATAAATTGTATATTATCTAAATTTAGCACATTAACAAAGAAAATTCATATACACGCCTATGCCAAATTTTGTGCTTTGACATTATACTATGTAAAAGACAAGGTACTCTAAACAATATAAAATGCATATTAAAGATCTCAGTACTTATACATAACAGCGTTAGAGATTAGGTATATACATATATAATTTATTAAGTATTCATGTTCACAGAATTCCATATTTTCACATCAATAATAAAGCCAAAATACTCCAATTGAAACAACATATTTCTGATAGCTAAAACAATTAAATTAACTGTTAATTAAAAAACCATTAATAATTATATTGAGTATTTATTAATAAACTAAAAGCAAACCACGATCTACAATCTTAAAGGTCGAAAGTATAGGAATGTACTTTAACGAAGTGGCATCACTCTAAATCAATAACTTAAGAATAAATTAACTAAAGCTTTAAATATGTGTTAGATATTGTTGAAAATCACAGATCAGGTGAAATAAACTAACTTTTACAACAAAAAGCAAAAAAGAGTAAAAGTGTTAAAATTTGCCTACTGGTGTCTAATTTAGCTTCACTTCATGTCGATTAACACATGAGTATTAACCAATAAAATAATAAAATTTGTATTCAAAAGAAATTCAAACTTTAACAAAAGAGTAATACTCAAAATAATGA